GACCACGCTACGGTTACAGCTAAGTATACATTGCTTCGAGGTGGTAGTTCTCAGTATACCCCTGACGACCATTCTTAAACTAAGAGGAACCAAATTACAAGAAGAAGGGCTGGTACCCCGGATGCGACTACGGTTTGTGGGATGTCTTCATGGATTTTTGTAGCCCTCACAGATAAGAGAGTTTTTCTTGTATTTATCAGCTTTTATGTTAGACTTCATTACATCTTTTATATGCTTTTTTTTTAGATAAAGTAATGCTCATTCAACTTACCACACATGGTTCATGGAATAAAAGCGCGTGAATCAGCACACCGAGAGCCCTTGACACAGCTTGTTGCTCTCCCAAATCTTTGAGCTCTTCAGGCATCACCAACTCCTCCGTGTCTGAAGCATTTGAATAAGGGGATGCTCCAAAAAGCTCTTTCTACAGTCTGAGTTTGAATTCAATTTGGAGAGGAGCTTTATCTACTTGAGTTTTCGGACTTCTTGTGTTCAACTATTGTTTTCTTATCTCACAGCCAACAACGCTGTCTTCTTTAGAGCCTAAAGGTAAAGATACTGCGTCTTCTCTAGAGCTTATAAGTGAAGCAAAAAGGATATATCTAAGGAAATTGGGGGATGGATCATTCACCCAATACTGGATGGACGCGACAAATGCGCGGCGAAACTCGTGGTGATTCAAGCGCCTATCATTAGGGCACTAATTTGAAGTAGGGTACATAAGTAGCATTAGCTGGCCCTACTTATACAATCTAATCAATCTGGTCCCCCAATGATAGGCACCAAAGTCGTTTAAATCACCACCAATTTCGCCGTGCGGTTTCCCGCGTCCATCCAGTCTTGGGTGAATGTACCCATACCCAAGGAAATTCACGCGTTTGATAGTGAATATTCGTCGAATGCACGACTTTCCACTACCTGTCACCTTACCTTTCCTACCCTTTCCTCCCATAACTAGTTCTAGTATTCTAAACTTCCCATAAACCTTCTAACACGTTTATCGTCCTTTTAACCTAACCTATGATCATTCACTAGCCGGCAACCTGTTTACAGGGAGCCCCTACTAATATATATCAGACGTCTGGTCGATCTAAAACTGCTGCACATCTTGAAATATTTCTCCTCTTAGAAAACCTAGTTATATGGTGAACAAGTACTATATTATAAGACCAGTACGAAATCAAACTCACCGTCAATCACGCGAATATCCATCGCGAAGGGCTTGTTTTGATATCGGCTCCTGTAAATATCTGCTTACAGAACACAGTTCACACTATGAATTTTATTATTCCCGACGCTTCGCTTCTTTCGAAATCAACTATTTGCCGTCATTTACCATTCTATGAACTGAATCTTTATCATTATCAGTTTGATTCAAGAAGTTTCTGCAATGGATACTCTACGACCAAATCAGGTCCAGTGGCAGTGGAAGAAGTGCTGGACAGATCTCCGAATGAGAAATGACGGCACGTCCCTACCGAAACCAATACATTGGTATCCACCTGTTCCGTATTTTGAAGTGACCAAATTAGTCCTTTCATAACTGTGAAGTCCCTTTTTCTTTTTCACTTCTTCAATACGGCTCAATGCTTCAACAACTGAAAGGAGTAATTGAGCCACTTCAGTGGTAACGTTTCGATGGGACCAGCCTCTTTGCATAACGTATGCACCCTAGATTGAAGGAAATGCGTAGGGAAAAACATGGTTCTAGCGGAGTCACAGCACGACCGTTCACGATGTGTGAGCATTACGAGTGAGCTTGGCCGCCGAGCTGACGCTAATCTGGTGCGCGTCAGTCACACCACAAAGGTGGTCCTGTAGCGCAGTACTGCTATGAGCGCATATCTACACCAACACATCTGGCTGACGCTTCCACATAAGTTCTAAGGAAGCTGCCTAAGAAGTGATTCCTGTTGATTCTTATAATCAAAACGTAACACGAAATTTGGAAGAGAAGATGTGATGAAATTACAGTTATACACCACGAATTAAATAGAAATCATGACTCATCGGGAAGTATTAAGATTGCTTAAATATAGCTGGCTCGAAATCCGGCCGTGAATGTGTCTAACCCAGTGTGATGCAAAACTATGACAAAGTGAAGTTCACCACCAGAAAATTCGAGAATTTCTGAATTCGCGCGCACCTTTGGGCTAAAATGTGATGGGGGCGCGCTTACTTTGGTGGTCCGCGCGACGATTGGGAGAAATACTCCATAGCTACTCCTAACCATTACACCTCTACACTAAATTATTAGAGAGCAGCGCATTAAGAAATTGCAATAAGGACTAAATAATTTCAAAAAACTTCATGTTACAGCTCATCGGAGCATCTGCCGCGATATTTTATGACTTTTATTTGCATTCAGTGCCATAGCAGAAATCGAAGATGAAAAGTAAGCTTTGGAGACAGTTTACAGATCAACTCAACTTTTGCTTTCCAAATTTTGAAAGAGTTATTGGTTTGGTTATTTCATTCAAAATACAGTTGCGTTTTGTGCAGCGACTGTAGCCCTTGTGATTCTTTTTGTGAGGCTTCAAGGAATCAACCAAAAGTTTTGAGCAGCAACATGTCCGTGTATCACTGCTTGTAGTCTAATGTGGTATATCAAACACCCAGCAACGCAGTGAACAGCTTGTCTAACACAATTCACTGAAGGAAAAGAACCCACCGTCTGCCGCCATTTTCAGCTACACTTTCGGTGACAACCTCACTGAAATTGTACTCATTAGTGGACTCTGCAGGTCGTAATATATACGCGCAGATACCATGAATGTCAATCTATTCCCATGTTCCCGTCAACTGCAGTTTCTGGTTCATCCTGAGCACAAGGTTTTGATGTTCTGTCCTCCAGGTGTACGGCGTTATGCCTTATACTCACGGTCGAGCCTCGGCTCTACGATACTTTCCGGTTTGCATTTGTTAGACACTCCAGAAAGAGAAATACTAACTTTATTAAGATCCGTCGAACATTCACTCATCTGATCTCAGAGAAAAATGGCACAATAACAATCCATGATGCCGAAACAAAATGAAACAGCAGGGGCAGCAAAAATAACAGCGTCCGAAATGTTGGAAACAAACATGAGCAAAAATTCATGCAATAAGAACAGGTGAACTAATCGATATCACGTGGAATTCTTTTGGAAATCAATACCTTTGAAAATTACTGGTCCTTTGCGGTCCTTTTATGCATCTTTTTTTCTTCAAGTTTACCTCTCAAACCACCTGAAAAGGCCGCAATCTGTCATCGGAAGAACTATGTTCTTTAGACGTTACCTTTTACAGAATCCCACAATGGCCACAACCGTGTTAGTGCAACTGGCGATTCGTCAGAACTCGTTGAAGGACACGACTAAATTGATCCTCGAATCAAACAGCTTCTAAAAGCAGTATAATTCAAAATCGAATCGAATTTGTGATGGCATGTGCTCACAACTCACATCGAAAACGACACTACGAGAGATCAAACCATCGCTGGTTGTACGTCCAGACTTTACATCGACACCATTTCGACGTACGGCGCCCGCTGATCATGCCCCCTTCGTTACAGTCGACTGCTCACTGCAGGACATAAAACAACGCAAAGTAAGAATGCACCTTGATGTCAAACAGAGGCGCAAACTCACTGAAGTTGTAAAAATGGATCGAAATATGGAACTTCGTGCCCCCAATGATGAGCACAGTGTAGCCTCCATGCTGTTCTTAAATCTACCTAAAAAATCAAGTTTCAATCGGTTGATAATTCAAACTAACCTTCTCATGGAAATAATGCGAGGACTAATTCAGCGATTTTGAAACGATGTTGCAAAAGTTCCCGCAGGATAGTCGCATTCAAAAAGATTTCCATGGTTCGCATTTGTGCAAAACCGATTGTACGCGGTGGACGGGTATCGACTGAGGTAGACTGCAGATAGGACCCTTACCAGGGTTGCGCAATCGTTCATCAACGCAGGCAGCTGAATTCGGTGCGGTGATACTGCTACACAGAAACTGTTCTTTATTCATGCTCCCTTGGCCACTCACTAAGGAGCAAAAATAAACAAAGCAACCCAATTCAGTGATCCGATAGCAACGACAGGCAGTGAGGGACCATATCCGCTCTAAAACTTCGTTGAACTGCCCTTTAAGGGATTATAGATGGGCTACATTGGAAATAAGGAAATGTCCGCTTCCCGAACTCATTGACTATTCTGTAGGGTGATTGGTCCGTCACGTTTGTCAGCAATATGGGATGATGTGAAGAATAGTAGATCAACTGACAAAAACTCCTCATTGTGACGAGATCGTTCGAAGACTTCAAGACTTTCCGAGAGACACAAATCCTTCCTTCGACTGTTTTTGAATATATGCTTGAGCTTCTGTTTGGTGAATGAAAGCCAAGGAAACTTACCTCTGATGGGATTTGATTAAGTGGTATTGAATTAGATTGCGAAAGTAGGCAAAACCTCTTCTTTTCTCCCAGGTCATTCAGCTTTCACAACATCATCCAGCAGGCATCTTGAAACATCAAATAGGCAGTATACTGTGGTTATCGTGTTCTCGTAATCTAAGAGAGTTCAATTCTTGGAATAAAATTTATTCTATGAAATATGCCTGAATGAAAAGACATACTGACACAAAGTTCGGATGATATATTGAAGACCCTCTTAATGAATAAGTTTTGTTATCTGCTCGGTACTCACCTACTTTCATAATACTTTTCTCTTTGAGTACCAAGATTAGCAACTTTAACTATTTAACAGTTGGTTCCGCGACTTCATCGAGGTGAGACTTAACGGCTCGTGCCGATTGTTGCTTACCTGGCACCTTATCAATGCTTCCTTGGCAAATAATAATATGGCGTCATGGCAAACTCAAACCGAAATCATTTCTCTGAGCGATTCCACGATATATGTTCGTTAGCCGCTTCCTAGCTTAGCGTACTAATCGATTTCTATCATACTTCAATACACATATATGTACGTGCTTGTAGAAAAGCATGAACACTGTTCACGCCGTCGCGGAACCCCTCCCTCTTATAGACATTTGCTCTTATGACCACTCTGTTAGTACTTGGTTACACAACATGAAATCTTTTTTTCCCCTCATCCAACTTAACTACTTCAAACCTGATTTAATTCCCTGGACCAAGTGTTATCGCCTCTTTTGAAAACGCTAGCTCGGATGGCACCCCACAAGTCAAGATGGCGGTAACAAGAGTGACCGCGGAAACTTTTCCCATTGCTTTTCTTCAGTTTCAAATATACGGGCATGGTTTACTATCATGATCTGTCAAGATGTTTGCAAAGTAAAGCGATCGAAGCACTACTACAATTAGGACGAGTGGCGAAAGGGTATAGCGCCTGCGCAGCCAGGGGTGAGAAATAACGGCTTGGGCTGAACGAGTCCAGGACATCGTAATCAAGCGTTAAACCACTTGTAGATGACAATTTCACTCACCTCATGTTTAAAGCGACTTCCTTATGGAAACAGAACGAAGCTCCATGCGGGCAAATAAAATGGACATTTATGACATCGCCTAGGACTGATTCAGAACCATCGACTCTTGGTTGGCTTACTATACATACAACATGGCTGATGACCACCTGAAACGAAATCGCGTTTGATGAACAGTTAACGGTGAAGCAATGGACTGTGATTGAAATGAGGCAATAAAGAGATGCCATATATGTGCCTACAAGGTATGTGTACGAACGTGCGCCCGAGGATGCGCGCGGCAAATTGCGCGGCGAAGTTCGTAATGATTTGAACGGCTTTGGCGCCTATTATTTGGGCCCAAATTTGAAATAGAGTGATAGGAGGATCATCTGACCCTACTAAACTACACTACTTCGAGTTTGTGCCTCGAAAATTGGCGCCGCAGTCGTACAAATAGTCACGAACTTCGCCGCGCAATTTGCCACGCACCCTCGGACGCACGTTCGTACCGTCCCCCGTGCCTACATTCTACATCAAGGAAGGAGGCCAGAAGCGTATATTTAATACGACATTTCTGCAGAAACTCGCAATTTTCAGCCTTCTCGGCATCGGTTCTAGGAGATCTCTGTATGAAAAGTTACTACTAATAATTTAAATAGCTATTGTAATGGAAATCGAAATGGAAACGACGTCAACCTGCACATGCGCGTTGAATTAGTCCTGAGCAGTTGGAAGTGAAGAATTCCACCGCAGCCTGTAGGTGGACGCCATAATTTCGACGCTTCTCCGACTTTCAACGGATTCGCTTTTAACAAACAAAATATGCTAAGGGCTAAGGTTAAACTCAAGCGGTACTCATGATTTCTGGGACCTAAACTTCTGAGAACGTTTATTAGGCTTATCAAGTATCGATGATTCGTCTGTTAAGCTACTTCCCAGCCTATACAATTTTCTTCATAGTGTATACAGAGCTTCGTAAAAGAGCGGTCAAGATGGACGCCGTTGCTAACTTCAAGGAATCGAAAAACAGTTGGCCGGACGGGTATGCGATATTGTGATGGCCGCTGAATTAGAACGGTTTTGACTTGGTCCTTCGGGAAGTCAAAGGAACTCCAGGACA